CCCTGTTGGGCTGACTCAACCAACAAGGAAGTGGTAGAGCCATTTTCTTAGACTATACTAATAGAATTTACTAACTGCAGAAACTTGTCAATGCAGAAAAGGATCCAGATAGCTCCCCAAAAGATCTGGACATCACTGAGGTTATGGGCAATTGAAACAAAACAGAGTTCAACACCATACTTTGGGGACTGATCCAGGACACCCAGCATTACTCATCTGGAACCTCCTTTTAGACTATTAATCCCAGGATTCCTCTGAGCCATGATATGGTGTCACTGTGATAAAGGTGCACACCATTCTGGGCTACAGCTGTGGGCACCCTGAAGATTAAGTAAGCAATACTAAAGTAGGAATTTTGAAGATTTACGTTTTGGACTTAGATATCTGATGCAAATAGAACAAACCCCTCTGATGTCTGAAACTTTCAAATGTAGCTAAATTGCAGGTAAGTTCTGGTAGAGTCCACTGTGTTCGGTGGACAGGACTGTGCACACTGAACTGTCCCATCACCTTACTGTCCCCACAGTCTGATTCTTAATCCTTCAGGGGACTGAAAGTTGATGTCACACATAAAAATATGGCCTTTAGAAGCAACTACAAGGCACTCTACAGAGGTTCAGCAAAATAATTTCCACATTCTAATCATCTAAGGAGCCAAAACAAGAACTAAAAAGACCCTTGGGAAGATGCAGCCAGCATGTTTCTGGGGCTGCTGCTGGGCTTTTGCAAGCTGTTTTCCTCCTAGGACAGCCCAGGTTTAAATTGCACATCTTGAAGCTAGGGGAAAAATGGAAGACAGTTATTCTTGTTCTCATTATGAGGTTAAACATATAATCAAATTATGAAGAAATCTTGTGGACTGACAGGGAGAGACTTCCCCGACACTATGAGCAGGGCAAGCAGACAGGTTAGATAAAGACAGAAGCTAAAATGTTGCAGTGACCGGCATCAGTACGTGTATCACACAGTAATGTCAAATGAATTCAGTTCAAGGCAGTCCTTTCTCAGACTCACTCCTTTTCTGCCAGCTTCTCGCACCTGTGCTGACTTTTATTGTTCAGCTTTTCTTTTTGATCCTTTCACCATATGTGTGGGATACAGGCATGTGTTTCCTGGCTCTCCAAGCTGGCAGAGCATCTCACTTGCATCTCAGCAATCAGAGGAGATTCAGAAGCTATCAGGTGGGCTCACTCCTTTGAAACCCTCTCAGTGACAGTACCACAAATTGGTAGCTTTCAGGAAGACGGCTGCTGCCAGTGTAAGCTCTGATAATAGAAATGGCAGCTGAAATTTAAACTTAGACATTTCTATTACTCAGAGGAAAATGTGCAGTCACAGAAGGGTTTCTCATCATCTGAAATTTCAAACTGCTGTGTGTAACATTGTGGAGCCCATTTCTCATAGCCACAATGGCTTTCTTTAGAGCAGTTTTATGCTTTTCCGGGCAGAGCTCAGTATTGGTACAGGAACTGAAAGCTGAGCTGATCACCACCCTAAAATACCCCATTGAGATCAACAACTTTATGGTTCTGCCTGAGACCAGCCTCTCTGTCACGATGGATGAGTCCAGACTGATGGGACTACACAATGAACAGAATATGGTCCAGGATTTTCAATTCACAGAGAAAGTGTAAAAGACATGTAAGGACTGTGTAGGTTTACCTAGCCATGTACTTGAGGGGCATACATACATATACTCCTCTTTTATGCATCTCTCTTCACCTCCTCTTCCATGCTATCACACCAAAATCTACATGCAAGAGGAGGAAGGCACATTCTGGCAACATTGACAAAGGGATGCTGAATTCCAGGTCAGCCAGCAACTCTGAAAGGAAGCAGGGTATGCTGTCTTCTCCTGAGAAGTAAATATACATATACATTCTCTTTGTACATACTAAAATATTTAAATATGTAAAAATATGGATTATAATTAGGGGAAAGTTAGAATAGATTTGAATGTTTAGCATACCCTTGGTAGTTCTTGCTTCGTTTCTGTATGATGCCCTCCACACAAAAAGATATTTCACTTTAATTGTGCCCTTCCAGTGCAATCATGTAAATTTTGCTCTGGTTCATGTTGCTCTCTCTTAGTGAGCTCTGTCGTGGTTATCATGGCCATCCTGGAGGGAAGGAGGAAAGGACGGCCATGGAGCTGGGGCTCGCAGGATTAAAGTTTCTGGGAATGAGTGGGGAATTTTATTCCCCAAAGTCCCACAGAGCTGCCCTTGACACAAAAGCTATTATGCTGTAATGCACACAGCTGTATATCCAGGGAACTGGGATTTCATACTGACCTCCAAGTGCAATAATTTCTTTTGCAGTAACCTACATGTTGATCAAGAGAGGTTTTTTTTATGTGTCTGAAGACCACATGTCTTTGGAATGGGCACCATTAAAAATGACAGATCTTTGAATTGCTTGGGATCCATCTTCTCATGGTTCTGCTCCTTACAGAGATGTTTACAGCTGTACAACTCTACTAGGTTTTTGCAGGAAAGCAAATGCAAAGCTCATCACACAATTATAATTTCTGCTGTTGAGCTTCTTCCTATTTTTGTTCGTTTATTATGTCAGTGTATTTCAAGTCTTTGAGTTGGAGCCCCCCTTGCATGCACACATTTTCCTCTCTAGAAATATAACACATTTTTTTGCTGCACATATGAACTTGCTTCTTGTTTGGACTCTTTCACCAATAAACCCTCAGCCCTGAAGACAAAGGTTCAAAACCACTGATCAGGACTATGCACAGGAGAACAGCAGTGACCTGCAGCAGCTGCTTGTCAAACCCTGGAAAACACTAGCAACAAAGCTAATTAATACATTTCTCAACTCTATGCCTTCTGTTTAATGCACACACTAGTAGTAAACTGCATTATTTCACTGCAATCCATATATCTTGTGGTAATGTGACAATGTTATTCTAATGTTTATTGAAAATTTTATTAAAAGGTACAGTGTCAAAAGAGTATTTTGGTTTGCTTCTCCTACTGGGTTTTATTTCCTCCTAGTTTGTTTCGCTCTAAATCCTCCATGTTTTATTACAGATGATAATGTTTCTATACTACTGAAACAATTGGAAGTTTTCTTAATATTTTCAAATCAACTTTCATTTATAATGTTCCGTTTCACTAAAATGTCTATTCCTCTACATCAGTGCTTTCCCTAATGACTCTCACTAAAGGTCTAATTCTGTATTTAATTGCTGTATAGTATAAAATGGATGGCTATCTGTTCTGTGTACCGGCACCTACATGGACACATTGTGCAGCAAATAGAAATCCACATTTCTATACTTTTAAGCTACAGTAAGATACAAAAATCCCAAACCCTCAATGCTCTATGCTACAGTTTAGCTTGGAACTGTGAACACTGCTATTTATCTTGAGGAAGGTAGAACACAGCGATGCAACATACACGTGTGCATATACGCACACTTCCAGTCCTCATGGATAATTACATTCAAAGTTTCAACAAACCTTTGCACTTTGAAGGAAAAAAATCTGAGAGTTTTAAAGATTGTGACTCTGTCAGCTGCAGCAGAAAGCTGTGAATATCTTTAAAGGCCAACAAGAAAAAAACACCCCCAAACCAACAAACTAACCCAAAACTCCAGAATGAAACATATATACACTTAAACGCTTCTATACTAGTCAGTATTTGCAGATCGGCTGATACTAAGAAACCATCTACTATATTCATATTTCACTTTTCAAGTGTACTTTGCTTGTAGGTTTAACTAATACAGCACTGGGAATAGAGAAGGACTTCAAAGGAAAAAGTAGCTATTATCGATGCCACCTACACTCATCCACAAGTCATTTCAATAAAAGCATTCCTTAAAAATAATACACAAAAGTCCCTAAAAGTATTTATCAGAAATGTCAGACTTCTTTTTTCGTTACCTAGATGTCTATTGGGATAATGGGGCTTTATGATAAATTTTTCCGAACCCATTCCATTCAGCCCCCCAGAGGGATGATCAGTGTATAAGATTTGGTGGTGAGCAGATGTACTAACACTGAAAATATTTCTGCCATGGAGCAGAAGAAATTAATTTTTAGCAGCTAATGTGTGCCTGCCTCCTGACACAGAGTCCTTCCTCGGGGCAGCCCTTCTCTAAAGACAGTTTTGCTTCAGATCTTTCTTCCCAGGAACCAGGAGATCAGGGATCCCTCCTGACAGCTGGATCTGAAACAGGACCTTTGATCCACCACATGCTGACACTGCAGGTCTCAGTCAGCATCAGAGGATGCTGGATCAAGGCTGAAGGGTCTGGAAAATATTAACTAGGTATGGTGTGTGGAGCCAAGAGATAAGTCTGATAGAAAGGTGAGAGAGGGAGAAGGAGAGAAAGAGAAGTGTTCCCTTGAAGGTTTTTCTTCTCAGTTTTACACCAGCACTTTGAGTCACACACAGTTTTTCAGCCTTTACTACTGGGTGCTCTAGGGAGCACAAAAACCTGCTATGTTACACCAATGAACAAGCAAATAACTATTTTTCTTGTGTGAATATATACGAAGTCATATTAACTTCAGACTCTCTGAACTTTTAAGAGAACTACCTGGCCCTCGATTCTTGCTGCACAAATCAAGCCAAGCCATTACTCAGTTTTGCACACTAAGAAAATTCCATGTTGTAGTCAGTGGACCTAAAATTTGTTCTGTAACATTCCCATGATATAGCTGAAACAAACAAACAAAAAAAAAAAAGAAAAAAAAAAGGAAAAAAAAAGCATTCTCCTGTGTTAGAAAGGGTTGAATTGCTTTGGTTAGAAGAACTAATCTAAACAAGCAAAAAGCATACAAAGCAAGGGCTTGTCTCTTGCTGGAGACTGGATTTTGCTCTTGGATATGCATCTGTAACTTCTTCTGAAGTTAACAACATATCAAAGGCAGGATTAGGCCATAGGCCATTTGCATCACAAGCCATGGATCCAGATCAAGGGTCAGAACAAGGGTCATCTTAGTAAACTGCAATTAGGAAACATTTTAGTTGTCTACCTGCTCCATTTCCGTAAAGGTGCTCTGCTCCTCGTCTTCCTCCTCAATGTCCGACTCTCCCAGAGCAATAGGAACACAAATGGACAGGTCAGGATTGGTCATAAAATCATCATTGTCTGTAATTCCTAGATGCTTCTCCCCATTTTTATTCATTCCATCCTCAGCGTGGTTCTCTTTGTGATTCTCCATGTCTTTGCCAAGCTCAGCAGTTGTGTGACTGTTGACACAATTGTTAAGGGCACCTGTATTCTGGGCAGCAAGCATCATCATTGCCTTCTTTTCAGCTGTTGTCTTGGGGTGCCGGAGGACATTGCAGCAAAAATCCCGTGTCGTGTGTTTCACATACTGAAGACCCCTGTTGATCCGAGCAAAAGCAAGCTGCAGGTTGTTCAACTCCCCATCCTCATCTGGTGCCGAGAGGTTGTCAGCACTGAAAGAGCTTAGCAGCAAGGCAAGAAACAGGTTGAGCACCTGAAACAAATAAAGTTAAAAGGAAATCAATGACCCTTAAATGTGAAGGTTTAATGTTTGTTCCTGGAAGCAGGACAGTCTGAGTCTCATCTCATCTGTGCCACTGTAATAGCACCAACATTTGTGGAACAACCTCTAATTATAGGTGGTGTTTCAGTAATAAAAGGAGGTCTGCAGACATTTCCAAACACATTAATTTCATGTGCAGAAGTATAGCATGGATAATAACACATTCTGACATTCCCTTCCCTCCTCCAGGACCCCAAAACACAGACAAGATAAAGCTCAGAAACAGAATATAGGATACAATTTTAATTGAAAGCTACATAGTGTAAATACTCTTTTAAGTGGTGGTCTTGTTCCTGTAACTTCAGAACTATCTACATTTGCTGGTAGTGCGCAGTAAGATTAGACACAACTATACATTTGGGTGACATATTTGATGATTTAAATCTCTTTTTACCTTCTTCCCCCCTGACTACCTGCCAATTATACCCAATAAATAAACCCAGCTTCTTCTAGAAGGCCATTTCCAGTAATACAACCTGCAGACTGATCACCAGTTGCTGTGTAGAGGACGTTACACCTGCTCGTGGTCTGAGAAGGAATGAATTACATCTTTTATCCAGATTGACAAGGGCAAAAAGCTCTAACTGAACATAGATGCCTGGGATGACAGGGATGGGGCAAAGGTGACTCAAACCACTATCAGCTAAAATATATTTACCCCACATACACTAGGACCATATTCCCTGGTATCAATTCATCTGCTGCCTGTACAATCTGGGTGGATGTCAGTTCTGTGGCACTACAAGGGAGAGATCAGTGCAACAGCACTTCTGCCATTCCAGGAATAAAATGGACTTTCTGAAGATATTTTCTCTGTGGTGTCTTAACATCTTCTTACTAGAAACACTTGCAAGTCCCCTGTCTTTTGTCTTACTGATAGTATTTTAAATCCATAAAATCTGATAGACAAAAATAAACGGTATAAACATTACTTATACTTAACTGGGCCTTACCAAACAGCCATCAGCTTTTGCTATCATCCTGCATGCCGCTCCCACTTATTTAAAATACTCAGAATATATGACCTGGAATTTTGAAAATCTGGTCTTAATCACTCTGGTGACACTGCATTTAAAGGGTCCTGTCAGTACTCTTTTGTAAAGTACTCTCTGCAATTACTGTGATTATAAATGAAAGCAGTTGGTAGCACAGCAGATGCCCATGTCTATTATGAACTACTGAATAACCTATTGCTGCACTGAGCACTACCCTGATCTAAGTAAAGCGAGATTAAAGCTAATTGTTTCTTAGCTGGTCCATCATACTGGAATGTCACTGACAGCTTGTGTGGGTCTCCTCTTAATCACTGCAGCAGTCTGGTATGAGTCAATATTTCATTCCATATCCCACTTGGAAGTATTGCAAGAGATGCTGTATGATAGGTAGTTGAAAACCAGAGTACTGGATATAATGCCAAGCAGGTGGGAGCCCATTAGTGAAGGAGTCACTGTCAGAATCACTTTAGCTATTTTCAACTATGTTTGAGATAACCACGTTGTTATAAGCATCCTGAAAATAAGCACATATATAGAGAATAGACGCTGCCCAGATCACCAGTGCCAACAGAGTTTGGAACAAACCGCAGCATATGTGTCCTTCCCAGTGACATCCCTAAGGACATGGGAAGGGGCTGGAGGAAGCAACGGGATAAAGAAATACAGAATAAAAAATCTTCTGAACTTTATCTGTTCAGTTCTGTTACATCAACATAGGTGTCCACTGTCTAAGGTTATCAGACATCTGTATCAGACTTACAGAAGATGTGTGTCCTCCTGCTTTAGGGCATGACAGGGTGCTTTAGCAGGCAACAGACTGGCAGCATTTAGGGAACTGAATTACTCTTCAAGGATGTCAGCTGCCTCCAGACTCAGACATCAAACCTTAAGGATCTAACAGGGCATCCATTTCAGTCAGAAGAAATTTGTCATGCAGGCAACAGAGCCTGACCAAATACAGGTGACCATGTTAGGGTTGCATGCATCTGCCCGTATGTAGTCATCTAGTGCCGACTGACCCTAGCATGCCCAAGTCATCCTGGGGCAACTGGCCAATAGAACACACTACTATGGGAGATTTCGAACTAGATGAACTGTGAAGGTCCCTTCCAACCCAAACCATTCTATGATTCTATGATATGTGTTTAGATGAAGACGAGGATGGATAACTTACAGCATCTCCAGTGGTGCTAGCCAAAACTGAGTCAAGCCCTAGATCTCTGCAGACTCTAGTGGTAGCTCAGACATCTTTTCCATATATGAACACCTTCATGTTTCACACAAATTTTGTCATCTGAAGCTGAATTTCACCCTATACTTCATTAATACTGCTGTTCACATAATACCTTGTTTGAAATGCCTCGTTTTACTTTTCTGTATTTATTTTGGATGTCAAACTACAGTTACATAAGTTTATCCAGATACACCTACAGGTGTATATAAGAGGTGGTAACATTCTTAGTGTTGTTATTTACCATGGATTATTAAGGCAGTGTTGTTTGCTTCTCAGAAATGCATCTGACATTTTGCACAGAGAGCTATTTGCACTTCATGCTTTTAGCCAAAAATAAATTTCAAATATCACTCCTTCCTTCCTTTATGAGCAGGTAACCTCAGAGTTGCATTGCTGGGTGCTCAAATACAGTGAATTGATGTGTAAGTACGTTATGTTTACTTATTCCCCCCCTTTCACAACACACTGCCTTTTCCAGCAAAATATACTCTCAACCCATGACACACCGCATTTCCCTTAAAAGGTTACTAATAATATCCGGTCTTCCCGGTTGCTAACAAAATTCTTTCAGTTTAAGTAAAAGAAAACTAAAGACTAATTCAGTTTTTAAAAGCAATGGCATATTTGTATATCCATATAGATCCCCTCAAAGAGAAATCTCCTTTCCAGTGACACTGAGCAGCAAGACTGTTGAGAGCAGGTCATTTTTTTGGTCTTTGAGGTTAGGTATCAAATGACAGATGCACTCAGGGAACCCCAACTCATGTAGCATGATGAAGTTAGTTAGGCATTTACCCTAATGACAGTATAGCACACTTTCATAGGCTTTCTCACTTTCCATGTCTTTCCAAAGAAGTGACTCTGTGCCATTATAAGGCACAAACGATAGATTAATCCAGCCTAATGTCAGGTACCTCTCTGCAGTGCTTAAACTGGAGGAGTTTTCCTATGATGTCTGTAGACAATGGAGACAGTCTGGCATCCCAGGAAATGCTGAAGAACTGAACCATCTCTGGTGGTGCCTTTTGAACCCTGAGCTAGCTTCAGTTTGGTGTTCCATAGCTAGATTAAAGTTAGGGCACTTACCAATTCAAGCCAAATAACTAACATGGAATCACAGAATATCTCAAGTTGGAAGGAACCCATAAGGATCATCGAGTCCAAGTCACTGCTCCTAGAAGGAAAACCTAAAACTAAATCATACAACTAAAAGGACCATCTACAACTTGTCAAACCCAGCCTGGTGTCCAGAAAATTATTCTCTGTGTCTGTCTCACACTCCATGCTCCAGACAGTGGTGGCCAAACTTCATAACCAGTTAGCCTTCACCAGCTCAGAAAAGAGCTCCAGCTGTTTCAGCCCCATCACTGCTGTCACTCGGCTGCATAGAAAAGGCCAGAAAGCCCAGCACCATGAGCTACCTGCCAGGAACTTTAACTACTCAGTTAATACTTTTTTGTGTGTGTGTGTGGATAAACCAGAACCCATATATCTCAACCTTTTCAAACCCACTTCTCTGGAAGTGCCTGCTAGACACAGACCAGCATGAAGCTCTTCAGGCACTCTGACCAGTGGAAGAAACTGATTTTCTTCCTTCCTGTTTGTTTCTGATGGCAGAGGACATCTCCACTGTTACTTGGGTAGCACAGATAGGAAAGGTACAGTTTTCTCTTTGGAGACCTTGAGGACTTCTAGCAAGCCTAGTACAATAGGTGCCAAGGATTTTAGTTTGTTTACGGTAGCAAAATGCATGAAGCTGCAAAGAAAAACTGCTCATAAAGGAAATGTCACTGCTTCAAGGAAGCATGAGATTAAGACAGAGACCTGTAGTAATAGGTCATCTAGCCCATCTCTTTGCTACTAAATGATTATTCCTTTCGTTGGAAGTGTGTTTTACAATCCTTTGTACATTTTCATCCCAGGGCAAAGTTTACTAACAGAGAGTACTCCTGCAAAAAGCAATTTACATGATCAGTTATTTTCTATATTATCTTTTTTATTATTTCAGCTATTTGTGCTTGGATAAGAGGCTTATATCTTCCCAGCCCAGTTTCTCTTTATCCTGTAATCAATCTCATAATCCCATTCTCGTGGTATCTTAGTTTCTTGCTGTCAAATATGCTACCACAAGTATTTCAAGAGGTCCCAGTTGCCAGAGGCAGGTGGAAGAAAATACAGGTCGGATCAGAACTGATCTTGGTGTTTCTTGCCCAAGATCAGCTAGGAAAACACACAGAAATGGCGATATGGATTTCCTGCCTTGCAGCCACGGAACTTTGCAAGTGGACTGTGTTTGATCCTACAAGGCAAGCTAGCAATTGTGGATGAGAGGTTTGTAGGGCACTGTAGTACCAGCTTGTTGCAACAGGATCTTTTTCTCATCAACTCCATGTAAATCTATTTGGTGAAGTAATTGGTTTGTCTGTTTAAATATAAGAAAATGTAATGAAAACAATGCACCAAATTCAGCCTATTTCCCATGTAAAATCCTTAAGCTACTTTATGGTGGTGACAAGAGCGGATGTTCTCCACGGGAAACTAAAAATGGAAGCAATATGGTAGGAATAATCATTGCATATACAAATACACAACTGGCTATAACTTCACTGATTTCATGTGAATGATTTCCACTTTTCCTAAGAAAGAAGAGAACAAGGCCTGATTTCCTCCCTAGCCTCACAGCTACCACATGCATTTCCCCC